CCGGTGCAGTTGTTTCCTGTTACAGATTCCTTGAGGACTTCCTGGCTACCTGAAATCTGGCAAAGCCCACTGCTCTTTCTATGTCTCCTTGGGGTTTAGTGAAGCGCCTGGGAGGCTACTGTCCCCAGAGGGTGGATGATACAAAAAAACCAGAACATCCCCGCCATCCCCCTGGCTACCTCAACACTAAATCTATCCATCTGAGTGAATTTCTTCCAAATTCTTTTCTCTTTCGAAAACAAATTCCTTTCATCAATCTTATTAAGGACTTGGCCGGGAGGGGGGGACTATTTTTGTACAAGATTCTAATTCTTCTGCCTCTTTCTCTAGTGATGGTCCAAGCTCTGAATCTCTTCCCTGCAGGTGAATGGAGCTTTGGGGAAAGTTCTGAAATTGCACGACTTGATTGCAGCCAAGTGAGGGCATGTAGCTGAGTCTCATGGTCAGGAGTGGACCATGCCAAAGCCTTTTGCTGTTATTGATTCCAAGGAAGGGGGAAAGCCCCTTGCCAGTACTTCAAGGAAGTGGTGGGATTCAGAATAAATAGAAGATGTAGCAGGGAAAGTATGGGGTCAGGGCCAGGAAGGGCCATGTGGAAAGCTGTCCTCAGCCATGGAAACTCACTGGTTAAGTGTGGGCTGGTCTCTCTCTCGCTCTTAGCCCAACCTCCCTTACAGGATTGCTGTTGTGGGGATCAAGTGAAGGGAGATTCCCAACAGAAGCCACCATGAGCTCTAGAGGAAAAGGTGAGGTATAAATCTAACTTGGACAAGGGCTTTGCAGCTCCTCAACCCTGAGGCAGATGAGTGAGATGGCATTACCTTCCGTTAAGAGGCACATTTTGACATCAAAAGGGAAGCCTGGCTGGGACGGGGCAGTGCTAGTGAGGGACAAGCTTCTCCAAACTCACCTCATACTGATTAGGACACTATCTGAGATTTTGGAGGGCTGTAAATGGGGAAATCGCAATCCCTCTTAGGACTTGATTTGGAGAAAGCCTCCCTGTCTCCTTTCCCAGCCCAGCCCCCTTCTAGTGCCAGGCAAGCAAACTGAGCTGGTTGGGAGGGCAGCAGGGTTTCCAGTCATTCTCAGAGGGCCTGGCTCACTCTAAGGCAGGAGCCAAGTTGCTTCCTTGAGTCTCAGGAAGACAAAGTCTGGAGGGGACACCCAGGGATGAGCTTTTCTGGATTTGGCAGATGTGGTCTTGGGCCGGTACCATGAGGGAAGCTGGGAATTCTTCTCCAGCTCAGATTTAAGCCCACCTTTCATTCTCCAAAAGTCATTTCCAAGCCAAAGCACTGCCTCACTTCTAAAAAGTCCTTTTCTCTCTGCCCAGTTTCAAGGCCTATGCACTTTCCCTATAGCTTAGCTTCCAACTAGCATCCAAGATGGGGTGGAGGAAATACGTAGGTCTGGTGGGGGGCGGTTAACTTCTGTCAGCACCACAGCTCTTTGGATAGGAAAGTTAGTCCAGGACACCTGGAGAGCAGAAATTCAGAGCGGCACTAGGAATGGGGGATTTTCCAGCTGTCCTCAGTGGGAGGGAGAGAATCCCACAGTATCTGGGGCAGCAAATGTTGCTTCCCCTCCCTTCCACGGTCAGGAGAATTCTGCTTTAAATCTTTAGGTAAAGACATCACCCTTCGACAACGTCAGTTCCACGGGCCTTTTTTGCATCAGGGACATTCTCTGTCTTAAAGACTATGCCAGCGCTTCTGCGGGTACCAAGGGCAGGCATTTCCAGTAAAGGAATGGGTAATTTTCTTATGCTGCAGTATTGCCTAAACAGAATAAAAAGGGTCAGAAAAGCAGATGTTCAAGGCAGGATCTTTTCAGTGGTGGCCCCCATCTGCCTTCTGAGTCTGAATTGAATTTCCTCTGCTGCCAGGTGTTCCCTCCCCCCCTGCTTTTCTCTGTGCTTTAAATTGGATGCTCTATTATAATAGGTGCCCCCCCTATTTTTGACTGAATTTTTAATAATTAAGGCAGCTAAAGAAGCAGCTTCCTGAGCTACACAAATAATTATTTGGTTTTACTCAATTCCTCTGCTCAGAACATGATTTTCTGCCTTGTAGCAAGCATACTTGCAAGGAAGTAAGATCAGAAGTAAGTGGAGCTAATGTTGGATCACTGCTGTTTGGAAATTTTCAGCCCAGAGTCCTCGCAAGGGGAAAAACCTTTCACTTTGGGGGGTTGGCTTTGCCTGTTTCTTGACCAGATTGGAAAATGCAAAGGCATTAGGGAGGTGGATTTAAACAGAGAAGCAGCTCCACCAAAGAAAAAGCCAAACATTCGGGTAGAGGGCAATATCTGTAAATCAGTGGCAAAAGTGAGCAAGAGAAAGAGGCAGAGACCTCCCTTCAGTATGAAAGGAAAAACTACCTGCGAGTTCCAGCAAACCGCATTCATTAACACTGTTTATGTTCTCCAAGTTGCTGCATTGCTAAATTAATTCCATATAACATTGAGGACAAGTCTTATCACTTTATTCCCCTGCAAATTAATTCTGCTTTGAATCCAGAGGAGCTAAAAGCAGATCGGATGCCAGTTCCAGACATGGGCTTAAAGCAGAGAGGATTTAACCCTTCATTGCACAAAGTGCTTCTGTAACCCTGGAAGTTTTGAGTCTTTGGGCGGGGGGCGGGGAGATCACCTTTCCCATGCTGAGAGCTACACTGATTTTAGAATATGTTGAGGGCCCCATTCCAAAAAATAATGTGTGAAGTCAGGATGAAAGTGGAATTTGATTCATGTGTATTTAAAACCATTAAAATTAAACATAATAAAGTAATACTCCTCTCTTTCTGTCTTATTAAATGTGTGATTTAGGAACAAGGTAGTCTTCAGGGAGCCTCAGGTGGCCATGAGCTCAAATAGGTGGAGGCTCTTCTGCTTGCCAAAAAAGAAAAAGCAAATGCAAGCAAGCAGAGAAGAGGTTTTAGACATGCAAGTGTTCCTGGTGAAGATCATCTGTTGGTTAGATTTGTTATTTTTTAATGAGATGTTCTGAATGCTGTCTGCTGCTATAAATTGTATTATTGTAAATATTGTTTTGATAATACTGATCCAAAACAACAGAGCAAAGGACTTGCCCTCTTGGGCAATCCTGGGGGCAGATTGGGGGTGGGGGTGGCAGGCAGTGCATATTCTTGCAACCATCTTTGGCTCAAGGCTGTTTTCTCTGATCTGTAGATCAGGCCGAAAGCTCTCAAAACCCAACAAGGACCTCTCATTACTGCACACAACAGGCCCGGTTGCTGCAGGAAAATTCTCTGGTTCTTGCCGATAACACCTTCAGCATTGATGGTATCATCGGTATCTCTAAAACTTGTTGATGTATGTTGGCAACCCGATATTACCAGGATTCCCAGGGTGTTCAAAGAAGTGGGCGTGTCACCCGTGGCTGCCGGTGTTGACATAAGCCAGCCCTTGCAAAGCACAGGATGGCCCAAGGATTTGGATCCGGGCAAGTTTTGGCCGAGCTGTTGTAGCAGACAATGGATTACCACCCAGACCTGCCTGCTTTTTTGGGAACCCACTGCGTAATTATGGCTATGGGGCAAGGTAATAAACACATGGAGGCTTACTAAAACAATTTCCTAATTAACTCCAGTCCCCAGTGATTCGGTGGCTGATGGGCCATAACCAAGAGCAGGAGGGAGAAAGGCACTTGCCACAAATCATGGCCACTGAGTGGGGTTCAGAGCCTTTCTCTGGCGTTCAACAGGGAATGGGGTGTTCCGCAATATTAATTATCTCTATAATTATCTCAGAGGAGAGCAAGATGGAAGGTATATTAATGAAATCTGCAGATGATTACTAAATTAGAAAGAACTGGAAACTCCAGATTAAGGACCGATAGTGGAAAGAAAATTATACATGAAGTGGGAAGACAAGGCAACATCAAAAGGAGACTTCGATCTGGGCCATCCAGGGAGGAGGGAGGCGGCAGCCTGTCCCCAAACTACCCACGTTGAGTCAAAAATTGCACCCAAATGCCTGGGGGGGGCTCTCTGTTTCCAGAAAGATGCAGACAAATGAGGAGGAAAAAGGGAAGGAGCGGGAACAGTAGCTTTCTGCAGGAAAGACAAGATGCTCATAGGAGACTTTTAAAGATTGGGGCATATTTTGCAGCCAGACGACTGTCAGGAAAATGAAGTGCGTGGCTTTGTGGCTTTTCCAACAGTGAATCATTTTGGGCTTTGCTTTGTGAACACCCGGATGGGAAATTGGCCCCCACAAGAGACAAGAGATCCTGCCACACCATTTTCTCCCTCCAAAAAGATGAGATATGGCTGGAAAGTTTTAAAGAGAGGGAGGAAATCACAAAAATGCCTGGCTTGGATGCCATGTCTTCAGTTTCATAAACCATGGTTACTAAGCCAAGAACAGAAGCTGATTAGTGAGGTTTCCCCTCATCCCCCCTTTCTCCCTGCAGGGCTGACTGACTCCCATCTAAGTAAGCACAGGATGTCTTGTCCTGCCCCCAATTCATCACAGGCATTTGTAAAGGTGGTATTTGTGCTGAGGGCTCGGTACATTGTGTGGTTCAAGGACTGGCTTGGTCAAAACATCCTTACTCCTGAATCAGAGCCACATCAATGTATCCTCAGAGCTCCTTTGCAAGCTCTCCAGAAAGGGAGGAGGGGGGAGATAAGGTGCCTGCTGCTGAATAATAGGTGGTTTTACTTTCTGGAGTCATCTGGGTTTCTTCTCTTACACAGTCAGCCAGTCCTGTGATTGGTCATGAGTTCGTGGTTCTTGATCATATTCATGATAATGTGGCTTGAGTCTTTGGGATGGGTGTGGCTTACTCTGCAGTGTAAACTTAATTTCTGCAGCCTCCTGCCCTGGAGATGGGTCTAAATGAGCTTTAGGACCTTATAAAGGATGTGCAGCATGTCTATTTCTTCTTTAGTTCTGTGACTCCTATGGGAGCTCCTGGCCTTCTGCTCCATGTTTTGCCCACCCTTCTCCTTTTCTCTCCCCCCCCACCCCAGAATAAGCCGCCTCTTTAACGGCACGGAGCCTATTGTCTTGGACAGTTTAAAACAACACTATTTCATTGATCGAGATGGTGAAATATTCAGATACATCTTGAGCTTCTTAAGAACTTCAAAACTGCTGCTCCCCGAGGATTTTAAGGTAAGACAGGCAAGAAACCTGTAATCAGTTTGTTTTTTTCTTACTAATTAATTGACATTTGTTTTGGAGCATCTCTTGCCCTCCCTGTTAAACACACCACTGTGTGGAGAGGAAAAAGAGCTTATTCTCTCTCATTCTCCCATTTTCAAACTCATGTCAGAGGGTGACAACATCCTTAATTATTATTGTTTGCTTAACCATGATTTGCTGAATAAGCCACAGTTGTCTAGGTTCACACAACATGCTAAGCTGGGGAACACAATGTTTTCCAGACTCTGGGATGCACTTTACTTTTGAGAGTTGTGCTGCAGGCTGCTTTCCAGAAAGGAAATGGGGCCAGGACAAAAACTAGATTAAAATGGAATTAAAGTAATTTCTGATAGTTAGTTCCAGATAGTTACATATATATTGAATATATATAAATATATATTATTTAATGTGTCACATTAAAGGTTATAATGGGGTGCCCGCTTTGGAGTCAAATTTTTGATTTTCAGGGCTGAAAACTGGGGTGTCTATGGTGGGAGAGGGTAGTTCAAAAAAGTCAAGATGTCCATAATCACACTGCCCATATTTTGATTTTTGTTCTGTCTTGCGGATGCCCCTGACTGGGAGCCAGCTTGTACCTCTCTGCCTGTGGCTTCAAGTAACATGTGGTTTGGTTTAGTGTATTCTGCCAATGTGGTAAGCTTGTTTTGAAAGAGGTGCTTCTGCATAAGCTCAGGAAGGCATTGGGTATTAGAATCATGCCCATGAAATGGTTGCAGCAGCAGCAGCAAACTTGCCAACAGAAGGTGTGGGCAATCTGGAGATCATTGTGCCCACTGCGCGCAGTGCCAATTTCCAGCTAAGCACTCCTGTACTTCAGGAAGGGCACACTTGCCAAGCACGGGCCTGCTAGGCTTCCTTGCAGGTCCCGCTGGTTATAGGCAGGGCCTATTGAGCCGTTCATAGCCAACACAGCTCCTCTGATGCTTCCAAACATGTGTGTTTCCCTTGCTGGAGGTGTCCCTTAACCATCAAGTTCTGCTGCTGAACTTGTCAAAAGAAGGATGGGGAGTGAAACACCAAAGGCAGAATAAGGAGCGTGCAGGGTTTGGGAAATCTTCTCCAGTAGGAGTCCTGCTGGGGAAACATCAGTTGGCTACATCCAAGATAGCCTTCCCAACTAGGTCTCCTCCAGATGAATTGGGAGGGCAGCAAGCTGATTGGAGAATCCTTGAACCTGAAGTGCTGACCTCTCTGGAGGAGGCCATGGAGAGAACGTTGGTATAGGAGCATTTTCCAGAGGGAGCAAGTAGGGAATTCTGTCCACCTAGTCTTATCTAATCTCTTATCCAAATGTTGCTTTTTCCAGAACATTGATTTGAGTTCCAGTGAGAGGATGAGTTGGAAATAGTTACAGGTAGTCCTCGACCTACGATCATTCGTTCAGTGACTGCTCAAAGTTATGATGGCACTGAACGAATGGTGGTTACAATCAGTTCTTGGAGTTCCGGCCATCCTAGCACCCCTGCAGTCACGTGATCACAATCTGGGCACTTGGCAACTGGTTTGTGCTTACAACTGGTTGCAATGCCCTGCAATCACGTGATCACCATTTACAATCTTCCCTGCTGACTTCCCCAGAAAGTCAGTGGAGAAGCTAGCAGGGAAGGTCACAAGTTGCTGGGGTAAATCTCCCCCATCCGTGTACCCTCCCCCAGCACTTCTGTGCTCATGCCGTGCATTACGTACCCCCATGCACTCTTCTTGACCTGTGCCATGCTGTGTCTCTCACACACCCTCCCCAACCCACCCCTGTGCACCCCCTCACTCCCTCTCCCACCCGGTAGCAGCCATTTACTTGCCTGCCAGCCCTGAACTTGCAACTTCCTGCAGGCTTCCCTACTGATTTTGGCTGTGGGAAGCCAGAAGGAAATTGCCTCACATAATGGCCATGTCATTCAGTTAACAACAGCAACAGGATTGCAGGGATTGCTGTCGCTAAGCAGTGCAGTTGCACTTTACAACCACATTGCTTAGTGACAGAAATTCCAGCCCCAATTGCCGCCTTAAGTCGAGGACTACCTGTATGGCTGTGATATATATTTTATTCTTTTATTTTTGTTTATTTTAAAAATGCATAGCCATCCTTCAGAACAAAAGCTTTTCCATGAGTGACTTAAAACCACAATCCAAATATTTCAGCTAAGATGGCAGCTATATACACCATAGTAATACAGAACAGTGATAATTTCTAGTAGAGGCATGGAAAAGTATCTGATCCTAAACATTTAGAGTTTATAAGAGGTTGCTTCAACCACATTGGACATGTTTCAGCTGAACTCAAAACAGCATTTTGAGCTTAAAACACTTGCAGCATAGTTGAAGCCTCCTGTTTCAAACAAAGTAGAATGTTTGAAACTTGAGACATTTTGAATTCAAACCATTAGTAGCAAAAACTAAAGCAGCATAAATAAAATAAATTAAAAGGCTCTATTGCAGCATAGCATATTAAATTATTAACATATGCCAGGATATGGGCCTTTATTCCACTTGGGAAATAGAAATCTTTGATGAGGAATCACTGAGCCCAATTATGCCAGAAACTATAAATGTCTTTAGTAATGTATTTTGAATGGTCAGAAGAAATGTACTTTTTCAGCTTTGTTTCTAGATTTGCAGAAATAGAGGGTGTCACAAAACAGAAGGGAAATGTAAGTGCTGGACTTTTTTAGCATGGAGCAGCAGGTCCTACTAAGTGGCCAATCTCTCTAGGCTCCTGAGCAGTGGAAGCAGCTCTTGGGAGGTGATCAAAATCTGCCCCACTTTAATACTCCTTTTGCTATTATTATTTGAGATACTTAGGAAAGATTGTGAGCATTTAAGACAGTGTATTTAAGCAAGACTTGGAAGTTCTTGCAGAGGAAAATTAGCTGTATGGCTCCTTTCAGAACATCTTATGCAAATTAACAGAAGCTGCTGAAACAAATGGATGCTGCCCCTTTTAAACAGCATTATGAATAAAATACGGCATCTCAGAAATGTTTGTGCTGGCTACATAAAACAGGGACATCGATGTACTTGCACTCAAGTGCCAGGAATTAAGTGCTTGGGCATTTCTGTTAATCAAAAAGACATTACAAAGAGAACCTTTTGAGACTTGAAAATTGCAGTACATGATAGGACTTGGCATTTCCCACTGTCTCCTGCCTTCCAGAGAGTCTTCCATATTTGCCAAATAGCTTGGAAGGTAGTGTTGGCATTTGGGCCCTTCATCTGGTGAGTTTGTTGATTAGCTACAGCCAAACTGGATTCTGTTCAACATGCAGTGATGCAAGATCATATTTCTCAGAAACTTGTGCTGGAAGGACCACTATTGCTGTTTCTGTCACCAGTTGTCTTGTTGTTCAAAGTTGCCCCATTGGAGTCGATGCTGAGATGACATCTGATCCATGAGGGATCAGTCATTCTTGTAGTGATGCCCACCTTGGGGAAGAATCTTCCATTAGAGATTAAGCCAGCTTGCTCAGCAAAAGGCTTTTCTCCAGAACTGAAAATCTATTCATTTAGCTACTCTGTTCCTTCTTGTGATTTCGTCAATGCTCTAATCATTGTTCATTTATTTTTAAATTATTTTTCTCTACTCTTCTTGTACTGTGTTTATTCTATGGGGGCTTGACACACATAAAAAAGAGGTGGGGCTTCAGTGATATGATCATGGATATCATCTTGACCTTTTTGGCCCCCTGGGTAGAATTGGAAATCAGTGGCCAGCTTCTATAGAGGGAAAGGCTCAGGACAAGGATACTGACACTATCAGTATCTACTATCAGAAGCTCTTCTAGGTATCAGAGAATGACCCTTAATTGCCTTCAGGCAGAGCTCTCCTGGTAGAATCAAACAAGGTCCAAAGCTCTGTTGAGTGCATGAAGTAAGTGGCTGGACCTATAGCTCTGCCAGGCAGCCCAGTGCCAGGGCCACTTTCCAGTAATGTGTCTGAAAAGGCTTCATGTTTTGGGCACTTCTCTGAGATGGTGACTGTGGAGTTCTCATCAAGTGCAGTCTGTGGGGTCTTCAGCACTTTAAGGAAAAAGCCCCCAGGTTCTGCTCCACAAAGTGACCGTCCTGTAAAACTTGTCTAAATCTGATTTATCTGGTTGAAGGAAGGGAGTAGGAAGGGAGAAGACAGAAAAGAGCAGATAGGCCAAACTAGGTTTCAGAAAGGACTTGACTAGTCTTCTGAGCCAGTCTTCAAGAGCACAGCTCAGGGAACCCACAGCCATTACAGGCTAGTTTCTGGGACTGTTTTGCTCTAGGTAGATTTAGAAACTGATCCAGAGGATGGGGAGGAAAGAACAAAACAAATGCTGTCTGCAGGATGATAGCACTGATTTTTTTTTTACCTTTGCTGTGAGACAGAGCAATGCAAAATGCACAAGAAGGTGCCAATCCTTGCACCTCTTACTCCAGGAGTTTTTCCACCAGTTCAGTGGGGCTGCTTTTGGATGCGTGCTCTCAAGAGTTCTGCCTCTGTGGATTGCAGTTTTACTTGCTGTTTTTGAGACTAAGCCAGTGGTGAGCAATGGAGACAGTCATACATCTGTGTTCCTAGCTAGCAATTCTCTATTATCACATCTGGCTGGTGGGTTTACAGTGAATATTAACTACTGTTCCATTTGCTAATAAAGCAAGGCAAAGAAGTACTCTTTCCCTTTGACAGGTCCTCTTCTTAGTTCCACAGCACACAGCAGCAAGCAACAAAAAGACTTTGAGTTAGCAGCTGTGGCTTTTTTTAGAAGTCACAGGCACACGGAAACTATTTGCTATTGAGGGAAGGCTTCCTCAAGAGTAGGCCGTATGAGAGGTGGGGAACACATTGGAGACATGAGGGTCGCTTGGATCTTCAGAGCTTCCAGTTCTACCCCTACAGTGCCTTATGCACCTCTGAGGGCGAAATAGGGCCTATTTTTTTATAGTCAGCCTTCCCTAATCTCGTGCTAGCTTGGGAGATGTCCAAACCCATCTGAGGGCACTGGCTTGGAGGAGGTTGTGGTAACAACACTTAGACCTGTTGTTGCAGTATTTTGATCATTTGAGGGCTGAATAAAGTATTGTTAATATCACTTGAGAGTAACCATCTGTTTTGCCTTGGGGGATTCCTCCAGAGTTGGATAGAGTTTGTATTTTGGCCATTTCCCCTTGGCAGTGAGTACAAGAGGGACTTGGTTTGTCTTCCAGCACCTTGAAAAACCATTGTCAGCATTTTTCCATCTGGATTCCCATTTTCTGCCCTGAGTCATCTGTACAAAATGGGAGTAAAGCCTCCCTCTATCAGATGAGCAGTATCAGATTGGCAGCCCTGCTGGCAGCCTCTCAGGTGCAGCCAGCAGCCAGCCTGAGAAAGCAGGTCCACCTCTTCCTTTGAAGTCTTTTGTGGATGTTCCCTTGTTGATTTGGGCTGGATGGTCTCCTCTTGAGCAAGAGGACTAAAATTGAACTGAAGGATGATGCTTGGGGATCAGCTTTGCTTTCCAGGCTGCATATAAGACGTTGAGCATGTGAATCTTTGTGTTTGTTGTGGCCTCCCCTTGGAGATGCAGGACTTCTCAGGACTCAGAGACCAGATTTAGAAGAAGCAGGTGGTCCTTGGGTAGAAGGAGAATAGGGGAAGAAGAATGTGCTAAGTAAAAAAAAAAGTCCTTTTCAGAAAACTCTGCATTGATGAGAGGGAACTTGTTTTCTTTTTTGTCCTGTTCTTCTATCCATCCCTTTGACTGTCTTTTCTACATCCTCTATAGGTGACAGTCTTTGGGAGATATAATAAAAGAAGCAGGGGAAGAATGGTCAGAACATATTTTACCCTCAAACACCTATCTCTCAGGTGTATGAAAAAGAATCATTTTCTAGCCGGCTCACAAGAGAAGAAGAATATTAACAACATCCTGAAATATCTCCTGTTTGGTCATAGAAAATATAAAATAATCCCAAATAGAAGTAATTTGGCACTGGTCTCCACCCAAATATATTGAAATGTTTTTAAGCTATCTTAAAGCCTATGATTAGAGGAGGCAGTCACAGGATGCCCTCTGGTAAATTTTTGCTACACCACTGAGAGTAAAATCACTCCTGCCCTCCACAGCCTGTGGCCATTTGGACCATGAGAAAAGAGCTGATGCTCCCCATCCACCACCCTCCAGATGTGTTGGGTCTGGAACTCCTCTTGGCCCTGTTCACTGGGAAGTCTGGGAGTTGCTCCCAACATACCTGGAGGGCAAAGAATTGGAGCAGGCAGTGCAGAACAGTGCTACAGCCCAACCTTAATAGTCTTGCAAATATTAAGATGAGACTTCCTGTCTTCTGCAGGTGTGGCTGTCAAGTGCCATTCAAGTTCTCGTAGGGCTGAGTGCCAGATCCTTGAGGAATGTTTTGCAATGCTTTGCTTAAACAGTATCCTGTGGTGGAGAGTTCTGCAGATTGCCTGCCAGATTTCTATGAAAGGGTGAAAGAATTGTTTTCCTTAAAAGCCTATTTAGCTTAGTGCTTGCAACAGCAAGGGGAAGATTAGTATTGCTTGGAAGTGAAGAGGCCTATGAAATAGATCATGACAGTGTCCTTCCATAAATCCTGTTCTCTCAGACATTCACTGACTGCAGCTGCTCTGGGAATTGAATTGCTTGTAGTCTAGTTTCTATTAGGGAAGGAAGAGGTGGCCCCTTGGCTGGGATTGGACTTTCATCGCCCACAGCTTAAAGTGGTGGGAAAATCCAAGGAAACTGCAGTCCAGGGGCAAGGAGACCAACAGGAACACATAGGAGTGGGTTGAAAAAGAAATATCCAAAGTTAGGATAGTTGGAAGACAGAAGCTTTCCTTGGAGAAAAAGTCAGAGAAAGCAGGAAATTAAGCAATTGCCTGAAGAGGAGCCAGGAAAAACCACACAGCCTTGAAAGTCACAAGAGACTTATATCAAAGTGAGGGAGGATGAGGGGAGGGTTAGGGAGGCTGAATGGGGCAGTTTAGGCAGGACCACGAGCAATTCTGAGAAATGAATCCCACATGCCTCTGGAGAGTGTCCAGTTGGAGAAGGCTAATCTAGACCTTGACTTTGAGTTAACCAGCCAAGTCTTGGTCTGCAGATTTCTGATGTCTTGTTCTGAACATTTAGTGTTGTGTAAGCACAACATTGTCATTATCTCTTCCTACTTGAGGGCTTTTTAAAGATGCTTCTAAGCAGGGGAGTTAGACAAAGCAATCCCCTCCCTTCAAATATTTGTGGCCTGAATTGAAGTAAGTCTTCCTGGTTCACTTTGAAACTGCAAGACATCCATGTAGATCACTGGGGCCCAGAGAAGAAACCTTTGAAGGAGGTTTTCTCTGCTGGAAGGAGATGTCATTTTCTTACCAGAGATGTTAGGATCAGTTGGGTACCTTTCTCGTGGGAAAACTGCTCTGCTAGACCCTAGTCAGGGCCAGATGCTCCCTCACCTGCCCATATCAGGGCTGGTTAGGTTTTATGCCACAGGGCTGAGAATGATTTTCAAGGGCCCTCAAATGCTCGCAGAAAGTGTTCAAATGGAACTCTTAAACCTTGGTTGCCTTTAAGACTACAAGCAGAATGTCTTCATTTTTGTCTTGTTTTGTTTGCCATATGCAAATCTGGCAGGTTTTCTGAAAACCTCTCTGAATGATCCCCTTCTCAGAAGGAGAGAGAGGGTATCACAGAGTTGTTTCAAGAAGAGGGGGGTCTTCAGTTTGCCCCAACCAGAGAAGAGGAAGGGGGTGAGCTTGTCCTCTGCATTATATTCTACCTCTATAAAACAAGACTCTGGGCAAAGCCCTCCCTCCTCACACTTCATTTTTGTAAAGGCTTCAAAATTCAAGTTCAGTTCAAGAGATTATGCAGGAGAATGTGTGTACCTGCTTGGCTGAACTTGAGTTTTGCTTGGCAAAAAGAGAACGGCTTTGTAATTTATGTGCAAGTCTTATTTATGTACAGCCCCATCCTTTTTATACAGTACTTATTCCAAAGTAAGTCACGCTGAGTTCAGTGGAATAGGATTTCAGATTTAGGTTGAGTATCCAGTAAAATCTCCTGTTGATTATAAGGAAAGTCCATCAATGGCAAAATGGATTCATTGGCTCTCACTGGTAGAGGATATTTAAATAAGCTTGAATGGAATTATGGATGACCATCAGTTAATCGGCCATTTAGACTATGGAGTTCTTTTCTGGTTACGTTTTTAGAATATGAGGTGCAACACTTGAAGTAGCTGACAGTTAAGACAAGTCCCCTAAGGAGATCAACTCTGGCAAAGATTTTGCTTCTGCTGTTGTGCCATGTGGCTTCAGTTCATCGCAGGCAGGCAGTTTGGTTCTTGTAGGCACAAGTGGAACAAAGGGAAAGGCAGGCCAATACGCTGCAATCACAGCACCCTGCCAGGGGCATCTACACGGGGATCACACAAGTTAAGACGGCAGTGTCGTGTTGTGTGTAAAAAGGGCAGGACTTCAGTCACATGGCTACAGCTGCCATCCTGACTTTTTGACCCACCCCCCGAGCAAAAGGGAATGGACGTATCAATTCCTAATGCTTTTTGGCATCAGTGGAATATTGACATTTTTAAAAAGTCTGTTTTACAGGGGTGGGAATGATCCATAAATGTTTCTAGTCTCTTCCTCTTCCTTATTTAAAAAGGACTTCAGTCTTTTGTATGAAGAAGCCAAGTATTACCAGCTGCAGCCAATGATCAAGGAACTTGAGCGATGGAAACAGGAGAAAGAGCAAAGGAAACATTTCCAGCCATGTGACTGCTTGGTGGTGAGGGTGACTCCAGATCTTGGTGAACGGATTGCATTGAGCGGGGAGAAAGTGCTCATTGAGGAGATCTTTCCGGAGACAGGGGACGTTATGTGCAATTCGGTGAACGCTGGCTGGAACCAGGACCCCACCCACGTCATTCGGTTTCCCTTGAATGGATACTGCCGGCTGAATTCAGTGCAGGTAATTCTGCTTACTGTTTCTATTCTTTCACCTTCATTTATCTGCAGAAGAATTCACTCTGCCTGGATCCCTCCATCTAAGTGCCCAACCTGCACAAAAACATGTTATGGTTTATGGTGAGCTCATGGGATTTTCAGGGGATTTTCCTCTCTCTCTCTCTTTTTCTTACCCCTCCCAAGTCCAAGCAGAAGAAAAAATAGATTTGGAATTTGTATATGTTAGCACCATGCTGATCTCATAATGGTGTTAGCCTGACAAATGCTAATTTTTTTCATCAGCGCATACAATTTGTATATGTTAGCACCATGCTGATCTCATAATGGTGTTAGCCTGACAAATGCTAATTTTTTTCATCAGCGCATACAATTTGTATATGTTAGCACCATGCTGATCTCATAATGGTGTTAGCCTGACAAATGCTAATTTTTTTTCATCAGCGCATACCCTGCAGTCCTTTCTTCCTTCTAAGTTGCCCCTAGGAAGAAAAAAAAACCCCTATCAAACTACAGTACATACAAAAGGAGAAAAGAAAAGAAAGTAGGGGGAGAGAAATGGTTTTGCATGCCACTTTGTAGGAAATGCAACAATGTGTAAATGCATAATTTATGTCCCGCTCATAATTAAATGATAGAGCCTGCAGGATGGACTTTAAAAAATGATCTCTGCACTTTTTTCCCAAAAGGATGTGCTGTAAAAATTGCCCAGAGTATTTAAAATAAAATGTGTTCCACTTTATACTCAAAGGTTTTTGTAGGGATTGATTGAGGGTTTTTTCCTTCTACCCTTTTTTTTTTTTTAAGTTTTAAAATTAGGTCTTGAAACAAAGGTAGTTAAACAGGCTGATCAGCAGGGTGCAGGAAAAAGCAAGAGAGGGTACATTTGGCCTTTGGAATCATCTTCTGAAGAGTTATCTCACCAGGGTTAGTCACCCCCAGTAGGGGGACCTCTCAGCAGGCCTTGATAGCTCCTCACTAATTAGAGAAGCCCAAAACAACAAGGACCTTCTTGGATGATCTACCTTAAGAGGAGAGTTTCTGGTCAAGAAAAGAGGCTTTGGGTAGTGGGAAATCAGGAGCAAAGTGAGATCCTGAGACCATTGTTATTGTTGTTATCTTGAATGTCCACTTGTAAAGAAGAGAAGGAGTAGCCTAAGAAGTCACCTCTGGTCTTTTTGGATAATGCTGCTGGCTGAGGATAATGGGAGATGAATTCCTACCCATTTTAATCCTTGAAATCCCAATGGAATTTCTCCCTGCCATTTTTAATCAATTTCTTTATTAATAAAATTTATTACACACTTGACTTCATTGTCATGATCCCAGAGTAGAATACAATGTAGGAATAGAAGCTATAAAATTACAGTGGACTATTAAATGGCAAGAATGGATTAAAATTATAAAACAGCGGTGACATTAAAATATTAGAAATAGAACAAAATACTTTGACCCTAAATTAGAATTTGTAACAAACCAAATCCAGTCTGAGACTCATTGGGAAATGGCTTAAGAAGTGACCCAATATCCCAATGCAGAAAGGCCTCCTTTCCAGAACAGAATTGGATTTTATTTTATTTTTACCTCCAGAATTGTATATTCAGTGAGAGAAAACTATTGGTTGAGCAGCTGAACATGCCATCCATAAATCTAAAGCCTGCACTTTAGATTGTGCTTCCAAAATTCAGCAACAACATGAATAGTTTTTAGCAGGACAGTTTGAGGATGAAAAATGGTAAAAAAATAAGGATGAGAAGGGAGTGCAGGACTTCTGCCATGTGAAACATCCTGTCCAATCTTTAAGTAACCTTTAACCTCCAGATCCACCAAAAAACAGCCTCCAGAGTGTTTGCTGTTTGGTACTGTGAGTTGCTCTCCCAGCCAAAACAAAATTACCTCTAGTTATGTTGGGACTGCAACTGCAATAGGGTGTTATGTTTACTGTGACACGAGGAAGTCACAGAAGTTTTGCCTATTGAAGTGGTGAAATATTTAGTTCTGGTTTAGCTTATTTTATTTTGTATTATTGGTTTAATATTTTACCTAGTTAACTCCCTTGAAGAAGATTCATTTTGAAAGGCCATATCATATTTTGAAATAAAAATAAGATTTGCAAAATATGTAAGCATAGCTTATGATGCAGTTCACTATATTAATGTCACTTGCTGGGGAACCCATGTGGGACAGCCAATCATGGATGTGTGTCCTGCTGTTGGAGGACTTCTCAGGAGCATCTGGACTAGGTGATTCTTTGGTCTAATGCAGTAGGAGCTCTTCTGAAGAGATGAGTTGTGTGTGGCCTCTCTTTGTACCACAATTGATTGAATAAAACAATAGGTGTGGGACTTTACAGAAGAGAAGATAATGAATGGAGGTTTTTATTATGAACATTTTTTATGTGGACATAGCCACTTAAATCTAATGTGCATTCCAGCTAATGTAGGTTTTATATTCAGATTACAGAAGTGAGAAATGCAAGAATGAGAAATAATTATCTTAAGCACTGTTATAGCAGATTGCAAATTGAACTGTGGCTAAAAAGGCCAGGCCTCCTTCTGACAATAGGTATGCTGTTTCCAAGACAGGAGAAATAATGATGCTCATTCAGCAAAGGGACATGTCTGCTTCAGAGTAATACCTTCTAGGCACCATAGTTCAAGAAGGCCTTGAACAAATTGGAAAGGATTCAAAGGAGAGCTATGATCAGGAGGTTGAAGGGTCTTTCTTGAAAGCAGGTTCTGTAAAGAAAGACTGGCAGAGTTTGGGCCCCAGAAAGGACAAAGAAGGAGTAGAAGACAGTAAACTTGAAGTTGCTCCTATTGATTCCAGGGAATGAAATACAGTTTGGGCTGCAGCTGAGAAATTGAGAAAAATTGGAAAATTAAGGAAAAGACAAAGAGACATCACATTTAGCCATAAGAAAATAATTTGAAATGGAGCACAAAAAGTATTTTTTTCAAGCTCAGGATGAACAGCCCATTTCAGGACATAGTTTCAGAACATACTGCATATTTTATCTTCAGCAGCTAATCTCAGAACACCTGAAGTTTTCCCTCGAACAAAGCAAAACATTGGTATGTTCTGTCATAGTGAACCACAAAAAGATAGAACAAGTCTTTCATTTTTTACTTTAAGGTCATGAGATTAGGTGGGATGGTGATTCATGATAACCACTGTCAAACTCCCAACATACAGAAAAATTACCAAAGCAGATTATTTTAAAACAGTTGAAAAGGAAGTGAGGTAAAAACATACTTTTGCATTGCAACAACCATGCTTTTCCCATCAAGAACAGTTGAATTAACTTCAGCAGAACTATGGGCAATAGCAGCAGCAACACACACAAACACACACACACACACACACAGCCCTAAGAACTGTGGAAGTAGCTATGCCACTTTCAATTAATCTAACTTCAGCAGAACTATGGGCAATAGCAGCAGCAACACACACAAACACACACACACACACACACAGCCCTAAGAACTGTGGAAGTAGCTATGCCACTTTCAATTAATCTAACTTCAGCAGAACTATGGGCAATAGCAGCAGCAACACACACAAACACACACACACACACACACAGCCCTAAGAACTGTGGAAGTAGCTATGCCACTTTCAATTAATCTTAATTGTTCCCAATTTCACATTTAACCTACCCACTCCTTGACCCAGAATCCCATTGCTATAATTCAGCCATTTTGCTGCCAAATCTGATTGGTATTTTGGGCCATTTTTTAAAAGTGGAACTGGGAGCAGTTGGCTTCCAGGTATCCCCCACTCTCTTTTCTTATTTTTGAGAAATAAGCAAAAGCCATGACACCACAAATGAACTATTTTTCCACCAAATGTCAGTGGCCAATCGTGGGGGAGAGCTGCATTCAGGGAGTAACAATCAGAGTACAACTTCCCGCCCCTGAAATGATGCTATTAGATCTTGGAAAGGCACTTCATTGCCACTAATGAAACTGAGCAATGTCCTCCCATGTGAAAATCCCAAAGAAAATAAATGCTTCCCTTTTTTCCCCCCAGTTCCTGCCCACACTGGCTGGAGACCAGTGTGATATAATATCTGGTCTTGGAACGCAAAGATGTGGGCCACACATCTTGTTAAGCTGTGGTTTATTTAGCCATGCCTTACTGAAGAAGCAACAATTAGTTGAGTTCACACAACTTGCTAAAAGTCAAGTTAACAGTCCACAGTTGTGTTCATATATGCTGTTATCCAAACAAGAATATAAGATTTTGGTTTATCCTGATGGCCTGGTTCACCTATCCTGCTGAACAATGGCTGGGTTCCCAAAACAGTGACTCACATAGTGTCTAATCCTGTTTTAGCCTAGTCTATCATGTTGTGTAAATCCAGCCTCTTCATTAATGCTCCTGCAAAACAGACATGAAATATAATTAGTATGAAAGTTGATGGTCCAGTTTGGGGACTTGCCTTATCAAAGACCTTCCAGGGCAGTGGTCCTTCTGTGTATTTCAAGGAATTCAGGACACATGGAAGAAAGGAATAGTGAGAAGCATTTCCAGAGTAGCTCTAAACACTGAATGCCAATTTCTGCTTCTGTTGTCGCAGGGTGTGAATGTTCAGAAAAGGGGCAAAGAAATTGTCACAGCACAGTGAGACTGCAACCATTCCTCAGTGAATTGATCAGATAAATCCTGCAATGGACACAGTGCATCACTCAGTTTCATGTTTCTGCATAAGCCTGTAAATTTATTTTTTAAAAAGGGAAGAAAAGGAAATTAAGACATTTCTCCTGATACATGAATTTAAGTGTGCCCTTTACCTAATATGCATTTTTGTAAGCAGTTTTAAAGACTGTTTTCCCCAATCTTAATCACTTTATGTGCATGACCCCATAATATATTTGTAGATTTGGAAGAACTATACAGTACTGCAAAATTAAGAAAGTCATTTAAATTAGCATTAAAAAATTGAGAGGGAGGGAGGTTGGAAAAAATATTACAAATAGAACAATTCCAAAAAATGGATTGCGT